GAAAAGAAGAAGGGGAACAAAGTGGGGGGGGGGAGAAAGGGGTTGTCTATGGTTACAAAACTCTTATCAAATGATCATGTTTAAAAATACAATATCCTTGCATTCATCCCGTATGGTGTCATATGTTGTCCATTTACGCCACTTGTTAGCAAATACGTTTTCCCTCAAGCAGCCCACTTTTAATAACGTTCAGGCTTTCACCAGAGCTCAGGGAGGGAGTGTGTACTAAATGCTCACGTCTGTAAACATTACCTGTGTGTTTTTAGCAGACGCTCTTATCTACAGCGAATTAAAGTCACTACAGATAAGAGTGAAAAAGGTCAGTAACAGCACTGAGAACATTATTTAATTCTACTGAGGTCTGATAAGCTGCACCAGCACAATAATACTGCAAAAAAGGCCATCAATAACTATGAATTCAATATTTTTTTCTACATACTGCAGGACCGATTATGTTGTCAGTTATGCTGTATGTGAGAAAAAGACAGTTACGATTTATATAGGCCTCTGGGGTTAACAGAATCCTCTTATTCAGGTGACCATGTGGAATAATAATCGGGGCTCGGGGGGTTTGACACAACTTGCTTCCAAAATGCCAATATTTAGTTGAGCTTCACACTTGATAAATATTCACATGCACTCATGAAACAAAGGATCAGGGAGCTGTGGAACGGTAAATATAAAGAGCTATGGTATTTGCAGGCCTCACTCTAGTCTTCACATGCAGCTGAACCGTTCGGTGAAAAATCCATCTACACAATTTTACAACTTACACCAAATGCAGTGGATCAGGCAAGACAGGTTTGGTGTCTGAAGCTTGCTGTTTTAGTTTTGCACTATGGCAACAAGGCAAATGTATCATTTACACACAGCAATAATAATACTAATAATAGTTATATTTGTCTCTAAAAAAACTGTGAAAGTTTTCTTTTTATTAAAACAAAGAAGTAGCATTACGGCATCGGGTACGGTGTGCATACGTTGCAGTGAGTTACCCGATAAAATAATAATTTAAAAGCCAGGGGGGTCGGGTTGCATTTCACTCGAGGAAGCAGGCCGAAAAAACTACTCGCATTACAAAATCTCCTCCCACTTGCATTTACACATTTTTACCAGAGAGGTTTCTAAATCCCCAAATCTTACATAGTGCAGCTTTAAGCGTTTTAAACAAAAGAACATAATGAAAGTGCTATTCAGTAAAAGTTGTAGTATATTGTCTTTAACTTGGCCATGAAACTTTAATCTAGTAAGAAAGAACAGTATTTTTAATGTCACTGTTTACCACCTAAGGCTGTTTAGCCTGATGCCTTTTGTCCAAGGCTATTTCACCTGACGTCCAGCTGTACACAAGCTGAGACATGACAGTTTTATTCCTGAAACCTTAAGCTGTTTTGTTTGAATCATGACACCAGCTACATTTTCTTCCAAAAGATTTTTATGAAAAAATATGCTGATGTAGGTTATGGAAATGAAAATTGTTGGTAATGCTAAAACTGCTTTTTTCCATTCAACTTTAGGAAAACTTTTATATGTTGCAAAAATCTCCACTGAAACCATTTTTTAAGGATAAAACACACAAGTAACGCACAAGTTGAGCATCATGTGACTGATCTCCCTCATGTGCTTCTTACAACACAAAAAAAACACAAACAGCAAAGTGGAGAGGTAGAGCTGGACTGAGGAGCAGACGAGAGCACTTTCAAAAGGAATGCTGCCACTTTACGCTGTTTATAGAAAGATATGACCAGGCTTATAACTATAATTATAAAACAAAACAAGCAAAATGTCTTTATGAGTAGGTTATGGGGAAGTCAGAGAAGCTAAATGTACAGAACTTGCAACACACATGAAATTAAGGATGGAAACGTCAAATTACGTTTTTTATCATCAACAAAACAAAAACCTATGCAACAACAGTTTTACATCAGTAAATAACATCATTATGGAACCATTTTAGCGCTAAAAATCAGTTTGATAGAAACAATTTGCTGGGCCACAAAAGTGCAAAAACTGTTTACAAGATTTATCAATTGCCCACAGAAACACGTGGTCTCAAAACCAATGCCGCTAAGCAGACGGGTTTCTAGGACAATCTTGTCTACGTTAGGTACAATACATGTGGTATTAATGTAGGATATCCCGTCACCCACCATATTTAAAAGTTCAGTCATGGCCATGTGTGGGAATACTGGTGTCTTGCTATGATATGCAGGAAATAAATCAATAAATCATTGACAAGCTTTAAAACAGCATTAAATGAGTTTTTATCGCGGGGCTGTTACTGTGGTAACTCAGTTAACTGTTATTTGCCACCAGACACAGGCCTAGATTTATCATCCTCCTCCCAGTTCAAGGTACAAATAATACAAGATTACATTCCACAGTGTGGAAAGGCCAAATGTCAGATTGAGCACCAATATGAAGACTTCCAGCTAAGGCTGAATTGGGAAAGCCAAGTCATTTTCATCTTCCAGTGTCAGCTGTGTAAACCAGAACAACAAGTCTCAGGACCCAAGCTTTCTGCAAGGAGGAAACAAACCTGGTTCATTGTAGTGCTGGCTTATCTCATTCATTCATTCATTCCTTGCCATGCCATGAGAACACAAAGTGTGTGGTGCTTGTGCTTTATGAAGGAAAGCAGCTCTTTCAGCAGGCCCATTGGTGGCTTTCCTAAAAATGGAACTAAACACACCTGACGATCGCCTGTTTAGGTTTCTATTCATTATAATTAACCTGGAATCAATGATTAACTCAACTGTAACGTGTTGAAAGATATGTTACCATTAGCCACCAGACACAAAGAAAAAGGACAAGGATCTCAGCTATAGAGATGACTTGGCCCTCGGCTACATGAGTATCAGTGTTGCCTGAATGTGAAACCAAGTCTGGCTATCAAAGACAGGAAGATAGCAAAGCCTCTGTCAGTGCGTTCCAAATAGCACAAATGCAGCCTACGTAGGGCTGAAGGGAGAACGCTCATAGTATCCCTTTTGTAGTTGTTCCAAACCAAATTGTCAATTCAAAAGGCAATTCAACGAACTAAACGATGGATACTTTCTTCCATAGATTCTTAAATGTAAGTCACCAGGAATATAGTTTAGCTAGAAATACATCACATGCACAACTACACTCTATATTCGTTTAAAGCTTCACTACATATGGTACTACATTTTGGGGATTTGGAGAAATGTGTAACTGCACGCAACATATGGCCAACTGATGCGCACATACCTACCACTGGCAACGTGCCAATGGTTTGGGAGGACAGCGCACAGTGGAATACTGTTTCTCGATCTTTTCGGGTTCGTGACCCCCTCCCTCTCGACTCACTCCTGAAACATCACATCTCCTCAAAAATCTCACATGGAATTGAGCTCTGGAAGAACATCCCTGCAGTCTGCTTCTGTTGTAAACATTTGCTAGCTTTGCTTCTACTTGTAGTAGTTCAGTGCAAGAACTTCTTTACACAAGTCAGCTACCGAACGTACCAAATGTAAAACAAGAAAAAAAAAAGTATTTCTTAATACATAAAACTCAGCATAGTTAATCACATAGCCAATCGCAAACTGCTGATACACATACGCAACAAGTAAGTGAAGTTAGCTGTTTAAGCTACTTCTTTCACGTTTTCCAAATAAGCTTCTGGGACAACATTACATTTTAAAGTACATTAAATCTAAGCCTACTTTCACGGTAACTGGTGGCAGAGTAGCAAAGATTTCTCTGCTTGTAGATCTGTTTACATTTTAATTTTGCAATGATGTTCCTGAACGACTAATTTTCAACCTCTTACACTCTATTAGAGTTTGGAGCTTTTAATTTGGAGGAGTCGACAGCGAGAAAACAGGATACCTAATCAGCCAATTTGGTCACTTCAGTCTTGCACATTAATACACTTTCTTAATACACAGTCTTACAAACGAAAACACTAATAACTGTTAAACACTAAAAATTACATGGCAATGGCTAAAATTTCACAGTCTTGACAGGCCTAATGTTGACTCCAACTCTTCTATGTTTGTGATGGGCGGGACCTTTGTAGGGGGTAGGGCAGAGGGAGCAGGGCATAACGAATACAGAGCCCTGATCAGTTCTGAAGGGGAACTAGGGCTTAGGGTTTATGCATGGATACTTCTGAATGGACCTCATAAGGAAGTATAACATGGGAAGTAGGGCATAAGAAATAGGAAGTAGGGCGTAGGCACGATGAGATCTGAATGGACGTTCCCAGTGAGTAGGGCACAGGGAATAGGTAATGTCAATTCTGAATGGAGCGCACCCTGCATTTTACGGCCACCCCGATCATGTTGTTGCGGGCTGAGGCTGCGTCCAAACCGGCTCAGCCCGTCTTGGAGCAACCCCCAAACCGGCCACACGGCGTTGCAGCTCCCCCAAGCACAGCTTTTTTTATTCTTCTGGCCAAGACACTGCATTTCTGAACCGAGTGAAATGGGAAGACGGTGCAGCAAAAGCTGTCGTTTTCTGGTCTGCAGTCTAAACTCATATTCCCTAATCCACACAGCCAGCTAGCCTCCGTCGGTCCGTTGCTATTTCTCAATTTCCTTGTCCTACAGATTGCAGCAAATTTAACCACACATACCCAGCGGCCTTTGAGAAACTCCAAAGATATAAAATTATGCCTCAAAACACCAGAAAGGTTGCATTTGTTGATCTCCACAGCCCCTGCCTCCATAACAACAGCTAGCAAGCGAGCAAGGTGCTGTCAACGAACGGTGAGCAGCAAAACGACCAACTTGGTGACAAAAACACTGACAGAAACACCCCAATTTCGTGACATTTCAGGCACAATTCGACTTCTATGAATATTTATGACATTAACGAATGCAAAAAGCACTTCCTCGATGCCGGCCAAGCGCTGTTAGCCGAGCAAAGGCCAGCGTTACCCCGGCTGCAATGAGTGAAGCAGTTGTTTTATGGAGATTAAGGGAGTGAACGGAGCTCGGATTGAAGTGATGAAGGTGAAATAAACCGAGACTCACCCAACGCCACCTCGCAGGCTTTGCGCAGTTGCGAATGGTGAGCCTTCTTCACCTCCTTGTCGGCCAGTATCTTCTCCAAAGCTCGGGTTAGGAACATGTTTTTGGTCTTTTTGCCCTCATACATGTCTCGGGCGGCGACGTTAGAGTCCAGCTGAAGGGCCTGCGGGAGGAGCAGAGAGTACTCAGCTCAGCCATGAGCAACCTGCCTGCGCCATGTTGGAAGGAAACGACGTCAGGAAGAGAGAGAGAGAGGGGAGAGAGAGAGAGTGTAAACGTGTACGCGTCTGTGTGTCTATGAGGGAAAAGAGGTAAAGAGACAATCTGTGCACATGAGGAAGAGAAGAGAGGGAGTGTATATGAATGAAAGAGTCTGAGAATCTGTGAGCGAGTTAGAGAAAAGATGCAGAGAGTGCATCCCTGAAAAAGACGAAGCGGTTCTTCAATAAAGGCTGTGATTACTTAGAACCGTGGAAAAAACAAAGAACCATTTAGATGTTTAAATGCTGTTTTGCATGGTTACATTTTTCTTCTCTGTGTTGAAAAACTATGGAAACCCATTTCCGCCACTGGCGAAACATATACAGCCATTTAGTAAGTCATAATAACGAGAAGGTTTTCCATAATTATGACTTCATATCTCATAATTATGAGTTTGTATCTCATAATTATGACTGAGGATCTCATAATTAAGACTTACTATCTCATAATTACGACTTACACATCATGACTTAATATCTCATAATAACTACTTTCTTATAATTATGAGTAGCTCATTATTATGACAGCATCTCAATTATGACTTGCTATCTCGTAATAAGGAGATTTAATCTTATAATTATGACTGAGGATCTCATAATTATGACATAGCATCTCAATTATAACTTGCTATCTCATACTAATGAGATTCAACCTCATAATTATGACTTAATATCTCAATTATGACTTAGCATCCCATAATTATGACTTACAAATTCTACATAGCATCAAAAAGGGTTCAGCTAGTTTTCCAAGTCACAGAGGCTTTTTTTGGTATTATAGAATCATTTTTGGTAACAGTTTATTAATATTATTCCTGCCAAGTACAAACAATGCAAGTATATCCTCAAAGGTACAGTCATGTGCGTTAAAGGGCCCATATCCTACATTTTTCTTGTATTTTATTTTTATTCCGAGGTCTGTCGATGACGTTTGTGCAGGTTTATGTACCAAAGCGTAACCAGTTTCTGACCTCTCTTTATCCCTTATAAACAGGCTGTTTTTGTTACTGTGACTTTAAGTCTGATATAATTAAATGAGCTCTGTTCTGATTGGCTCCTTATTGCTTCAGCCTGAGTGGGTGGAACTAAACTTCTCTAGGCTGAATAGGTGGGTATATGTAAATGAGTTCTCATGACATCACAAAAACAGTGAACTTCAAACGGGCTGTTTTTGCAGTGCAGTTTCTTTATATGCCTTTATATTAACAATGTTTACATGTTACAAACTTGTTACTTCAGAAAAGTGATGGAAATTCAGCTTTCAGTGATTCAGTTTTCAATGATAGGGTTTTAATGATAAGTAAGTTTTAAAGGTACACCGCACCTTTCCAGGTAAAAGGGACAGATTTGTACATGTTGATCATCTAAAAATGTTAAAATAGAAAATAAGATATGATGTCTGAAGTCAGGACAGGGTTTATTATAGTGAAATGAAATGAGGTAGAACTATGTTCCCTAACTAAAGGTATTAAGACATATTCACCCCAATGACAGGTTTAGTCCCTTCTTCTAAAAAAGGCACACATATAAGAATAGAAAGAGGAAGTGTGCATATCAATGAGAGACTGAGAATCAGTGTGTGTGTGTATGACAAAAAGAAAAGAGATACAGAGGGAGTGTGTGTATGAATGAGAGAGCCAGGAAGAGACTCTGTATGAGAGAGAGAGATAAAGATTGTGAAAGAGAAAGTGAGAAAAAGTAAGTGAGTGTGGTGTCTTTGGAAGCCAATTGCCAGATAGAGAAGACAAAATCGCCTGTTCTTTTCTCCTTCTCTGTTTCTGGTAGCAGTATTTCAACATTTTGACTTAGTATCTTGAAATAATGACTTATTTTCTCATAACATGACTTAGAATTTCAAATTGGTGACTGAGTATCTCTTAATAATAACTTACTATGTCAAAATAATGTCTTCATTTCTCTTGTATTGATTTATCATGTCAAAATAATGATTTATCATAGAATATCTACTAGTTAGGTCAAACAACTTGTGTTCTCTGAATATTTATGTACTATGTCAAAATAATGACTTTTATATTAAAGTATTGAATAACTGTCTAAATAATGACTAACCTTCTAAAATGTGGACTTTCTAATAGTAACTTTTTTCTCAAAATATTGACTTACTTTGTCTAAATAATAACTAACTGTCTAGAATATGGACTTGCTTTGTCAAAATAGTGACTTTTTCCTCAAAATATTGATTTACTATGTCTAAATAATGACTTGCTTTCCAAAATATGGAATTATTTTGTCGAAATAGTGACTTTTTCTCAAAACATGGATTTACTATGTCTAAATAACGAATAATGACTTTTTTCTTAGAATATTGACTTACTATGTCTAAATATTGACTTTTTTCTTGAAATATTGACTTAATATGTCTAAATAATGATTTTTGTTCTTGAAATATTGACTTTCTATGTATAAATCATGACTTACTTTCTAAAATATGGATTCACTTTGTCTAAATAATGACTAAATAAACAAAAAGTCTAAGTCAGATTTGTGACATTCTTAAACCTTTGTGATCTTAAGTGTGTGTAGATTCTGTTCTAACCCAAGTGGGTAAATCGTAAGTGGGTTTTAAGAAGAAACCTCTTCTTAAGAAAGGTTGGTGAATGAGGTCCATTGTTTTATAATATTTTTGAGGAAGTTTTGGCCTAAAATGTATTTTTAAAATGCTTTCATGGCAGAGAGCTACATGCAAATATGGAGCAAATACAACTTAGAATTCTCTCTCTTTCTTGGAATATTTAGTCTGATATATATTTTGCGATATTTAGAATTTACTCTGTGTGATAGTGTGACTCATCATTATTGTAACTCAGATAATTCATGTTCATTGTTCATTACTTTAAAGGGCTCATGAACTACATTTTCTTAGTAGGACTACTGATGATATTTGTGTGGACTAAAAACAAATTTACTTTTACACAACCATTTTCACACCTCTCTTTATCCCTTAGAATCAAACAGCCTGTTTTGTTTTTGTTTTTTTTGTTGTTACTGAGCCTTTAAGACTGATATATGTAAATTACCTCTTTTCTGATTGGCTGCATTGTATTGCGCCCTATTGAAAAAGCTATCCAGGCTTGTTATCCTTATAACTTCAGCATGAACGAGTGGAGCTAAACTGCTGCAGGCTGAACTGGTAGATAGGTAACTGATATGCAAGTGGTGACCTCACAAAAACAATGAACACCAAACAGCCTTTTTTTTCACTGCTTAGTTTCCGTGTATGTGCTGTACGGACCTGGGAGTGAAACAATGTTTACAAACTACATCAAACTCTTTTATGTCTAAAATCCAGTTTTCCATAATAAGGGCCCTTTAAATTCTAAAGTGTCTAAGTATGCATTTTGAATTTGTGTCTCAGAGTTATTGTCAATAAACAAATGGAGGCTTAATGGAGGTTTGTGTAATAATGGCACAAATGTCTTTGCAACAACTATGTGCAAACGGAAGTTAGCAGATTCACATTTTGGTCTGAGCTCTGGTTATGAGTCACCTGCTTAAGCGGCTTTATGAAGACGCTATTTATGTTGGGGAAAATATGACTGAAAAAGAGGATTTATAGGTCAAAATAGTTTATATGCTTACTAACAGGTTTCCACGTTGACATTCAAATCACTTCTGATTAACCCTTTAAACTGCAGACTTCGGCCCAATTTCATTTCTTATTTTTACCCCTACTCCTTGTTTTCGAGTGTCACCTTGCCCCTTAGAAATGAGTTACAAGGGGCAGTGGTTGAAATCTCCCCCTATAAAATGAAACAACCCTTAAATAAAAAAGGAACATTGCCCTGGCGCTTCAGGCTCAGAACTGCTGGACTATTTAAGGTGGAACTGGAAAATTAGCTAACTAGCTACCGAGACATTAGCAAACTATTAGCGATTTTTTATGCTTGTTATGAAGAAAAGGACTATAACACATTGAAACGACATTAAACTAAGACAATGCAATGGTTATTGTCATTTTTAACAGAGAAAATACTCACTTTTGTGGTTTCTTTGGTCGGTCGTGCAGCCATCTTGCCAGTTTTTCTTTTTTGGAGTGTGTCTCTGAAAAACCTCCGTTTGGAGGGCCATGCAGCCCTAACACTTCCCCCTTTCCCTCTATCTCAACAAAAAACGGGACGCCCTACACCTAGGTGTGAACATGCAAAACGGAGGGCTAAGGGCTAGGGGTAGGGACAAGGGGTGAAATGGGATTGAACCTTATTATTCAGTTATTAATCATTAAGCCTTATTATTCAGTAACTACTCTGAGTACATCAGAAACTTCTAACAAACTAATATGTACATTTTGTATAAATAAGACTGAGGAATTGAAGAGCAGGCCCGCAGTGCAGTGTTTGTAGAAGAGGACCTATGTTAATTTTGTTATGAAATTGAATTGAATTTGATGAAAGGGTTATGGTTGTGTGCACAGTCTCGTTTTGCAGAATGAAAAACAGCCTTTTCATTTTTACCATGTTTTTGTCATTTTTGAAAAAGTTCAGATTCAAACCTTTTAATACAGAATCTAAATCAAAAGATAATTTGATTTGTTGTCTAACTGAATGCATAATTAGCAGGGTTATTATCATTAATGACAACTATTAGTACAATGAAGACTAGCAATGAAGAAATGTGCTTCTTAAGTGTAACAAATAGAAAAACATCAGTTTTCAAAAACAGTAAAACTAAATCGAAAAATGAAAATTAAAAGCTATAATAAATAAAAATGAAAAAAAAAACGAAAACTTCCACATTTGTTTTCATGTTTTCAGTATAAAGGATGGTGTATGAGTGGATTCCTTTATATCAAATCTCAAATACCCAGGAGATGGTGATGTCTTTGTGGAACTGAGGACAGTCTGTTGTTGTGCTGATTTCTATTTGCAACTAATTTCCAGTTTCTGACAACATAGTCACAATAATACTAAAAACTTTGAAACTAAATTGGAATCAAAAACAAAACTAAACTAACTAAAGATAAAAACTACTGAAATTTTCAAATAATGTGCTAATCCTATGCCTTGTAATGAGCTAGGCTTATGCAATTACATATTAATAATTATGTAATGTCAATTGAATGTATTGCAAATTAACAGTAATAACTCTTCTAAAGGTTAATCTTCCTAAGGTTAATAAACCTGTCCTACTTGTATCCTAACTACACTGTCCAGTGTGGCCCAGAGGAGTCTCGGTTCCTCAAAATGGTTCTTCCTCAAGCTCTTATGGAGTTTCTCCTTTTGAGTCTTGGTTCCTCTCAGTGGTTCTTCCTCATGGTCTTATGGAGTTCCTCTTTTTGAGTATTGGTTCCTCTCAGTGGTTCCTCTTCATGCTTTATGGAGTTCCTCTTTTTGAGTATTGGTTCCTCTAAGTGGTTCTTCCTCAAGCTCTTATGGAGTTCATCGTTTTGAGTCTTGGTTCCGCTCAGTGGTTCCTCTTCATGCTTTATGGAGTTCCTCTTTTTGAGTATCAGTTCCTTTCAGTGGTTCTTCTTCATGCTTTACGGAGTTCCTCTTTTTCAGTATCGGTTCCTTTCAGTGGTTCTTCTTCATGCTTTATGGAGTTCCTCCTTTTGAGTTTTGGTTCCTCTTAATGGTTCTTCTTCATGCTCATGCTCTTATAGAGTTTCTGCTCTTGAGTCTCTGTTACTCATAAGGCGGTCATTTCAGGACAAGCTGCTTTGTTGTAGAAAGTGCTGTACAAAGAAATTTGCATATATGTCCCATCTCTAACCACACCTAACAACCTCTGAATAAACAAATGACAAAATATTGATATTTAGACACACATAAATATAACCGTGAGTGTTGGTTCTGTACAACAGTAAAGAAAAAAGCCCTGAACATTGTATTTGTGATTTTACGTTTGGCGGTTTCTTCCGCCATAAAAAGTAGTTCCAGCAGCTTCGCCTAAAGCATCCATTACTGTTACTTAGCAACTCATAATCAGCAGAATGATATGTTGAACAGTGATACATTTATCAATTACAACAGCACAGGCAGAACCAATCAGATTGCATGATTGGAACAGTTGTATTAAAGATCACACGTCTTATGATTAATGATGCTATACAGCATAAATATCATGTGAACATAAGTATCATTGCCTCACATGGCAACACCTTACTATATATCCGTCTGCTCATCCATCAAGGGTATTAATTGCGAGTTTGTCCCCCTTTGCTGCATTAACAGCCTCTACTCTTCTGGGAAGGCTTTACACTAGACGTTGGAACATTGCTGTGAGGATGTGACTGCATTCAGCCTCAAGAGCATTAGTGAGGTCAAGTACTGAGGTTGGAGGATTAGTTCTGGATCACTTCAACTCATCCCAAAGGTATCGGAGGGAGCTCCATCACTCCAGAGAACACAGTTCCACTGTTCCACAGCCCAATGCAGGGGGGCTTTACACCCCTCCAGCTGACGTTTAGCTTTGGCATGGTGACCTTAGGCTCATGTGCAACTGCTCCAGAGCATCCCATTCTATTGGTCAACGCCTTTTCTATAGAGATTATTCAAGCATTTATCACTATTTTACCACCTTCAACATCAGAAGAGACATGTAGGTCCACCAGGTGGTTTTAGATAGTAAAAAAAGTGGCTATATTTGTGCTGTAGACATTGTGACCCCTGGTTCCCATCACTACCACTGTAACTAACCTCTGAACGACTCTGTTTACAATGCAACAACAAAGTTAAAACTCACTGGAACTCACTCATTAGACAGGGCATCTGGATACTTGCCTTAGTATATGGAGAAAAAGTTGTCAGCAGATACTTTTAGGATCATTACTGGTATTTGTAGCCTGACTGTTTTCTTCTCTGAGCCCTTTGCTGAACGCCCAATTTTCCTCGTCTCACAGACAGAACAGACGCGCAGACTGCTGGAGGACTCTCAGCTGTATCCCAAAGACTCAACAGTCTTCTTCTTGTGAAATGAATTATTAAAAGCAGAGTGAGGTTTCAAAGGAGCGGGGCTAGTCTTTTATTTCTGAGCTCCTACAATGGGCCCGCCTGAATAAAACCCAAAGACGAGCCTTCATTATGAAAAGATTACAGCATACACCATCTCGGAGGGTCCTCTGTTTGAATTATCAAACCCCTGCCGCAGCATTCGGGTGTGTTGTACAATCCAGAACAGGTGATTTATATTCATCTTTAACTTCTAGACAAAACTGCAGTACTACAGTCACATACTAAACAGAGGAACAGTACTGAAATTATCATTATATCCAGCACACATATTGCATACTATATGAAATAATTACCGCTCTATAAATAGGCTTGAATATAAAAACCAATATGAAATCCAGTACAAAGTATTAGTTATAGTAATATAGAGTAAAAATTACAATATTGTAGCTTCATGCCATAAAAACATAATAAAAAGTCCATAAAGATAAAAACTCCATTATTTTGGGTATCGCTCCCATATTTTCTGTATAAGATGCTAAACATAATAAAACATTTTTGAATATGCATGTAAAAATTACAGGCCATAAAACATATCCCATCATCCATGATACAGTACTGGAGACCAGGAGTTTCCTGACACTGCAAAACAAATGAATGAGGTGTGGTCTCTGACTTTTGCACAGTGCTGTATTAGGAACAGTTATTATAACAGTTTATATCTATAAATAGGTTAGCACAGTAAAAGAGCCAGAAACCTGTCTGAAGTACAGTAAAAATGCTATCGTCATTGTAATATATGAAAAATGTCGTTATTGTTGCTTGACATCATAAAAAATAGAGTGAAAAGCCCATAAGGAAGTATTTCCTGTACTTTGCCCATCATTGTTTGAATGTACTTCAATGGTCCATTGCACATCAAACACAGCTCAGTGAAGCTTTCGCCTGGTTTCGTAGCTCTGCATTATGTATAAAGCCACCATTACAAAATACTATACAAAATATACTTACTAGAATATAAAAGTATACAATGTTTACATTCTTTGGTCTTTGCTTTTCTTATGGATCGTACTGCAGGTGAGGTTCAGCAAGTGCTCCGAAACAGCAGGACACTTCAGAAACACTTTGTTTACAGGTGCATCTCCAAAAGGCCACAGGGCATTTCCCCTTGCTGCAGGACGAGGCAAAGGCACTCTGAACAACAGTTTGATGGAAATGAGGGTAAGTGTGGTATAAGAATGAGAGAGATATCTGTGTACAGTGTGATATTCCTGTTTTACTTTGAGCTAGGGGTGGGTGATATGACAATATGTTATCGTTATTGTGATATATTACGCCTTTCTGTGTATAACTGGATAGCAGGCCATTATGCCACTTGTAATGATTAAAATAAGTTATGTTGATTAATAGCAGTATTTGTGTAGTTAATCATGAATAATGGCATTTGCTTCATTTGCTAAAATTTGACCCTAAATGCAATCAGGTCAAAGGCAGAATGAGTGCAGTAGGTGAGAATATGTAATTGGAAAAAGGAGAAGAGGAGAGGCACTGTTTTCCTTTTTATATGCATTTTGCCATTTTTCTAGCTTAGTGTTCTTTTGACAGTGCAATTTGAAAACTATTATTAGAGAGTGCAAATGCAAATACGGTAAATTACATTTTAATTATTACATTGACACCAATATTGTGTGTTTCCACATAAGGATTGAATATGCAGACCTGAAAATATATTTTAATTTCATTAAAGTTTCTTGGAAAGCATCTAAATTTCTGTGTAAGTGAAATGTCAATACTAGTGTACCAAATGGCAAATTAAAACACTAAAACTGAATATGAATTTTCATTTTGAGCCAAAAATTGCAATTGGAAATTTTCAATTCAAACATTAGAATACATTCACATTTTACATATTCACTTGAATTTTGCTACTTAAATGCTTCTATAGGGTTGACGCGTCACACTTAGAAAATGCATTTATGGCCTTAATTTAAAATTTAGTGGCTTATTTTTACCAATTGCTTGATTATTCCTCCTATTTTGCTTAAATGTTCCTTATGCCCATAGATTTTAGTCTTTTTTGAGTGTATTTTAACTTGTTCGCAAACCTCAAAAACACTAAATATCGTGATATATTTCATGTATCGTGAAAAGGTCTCCAAGTACTGTGATACAACATTTCGTCCATATCACCCACCCACACCTTGAGGGAGTATTCAACACTGAAGCTAGAATGTTTCTCACAGTTCACAGTGTCAGCTGTTTTGGATGCCCTCATGACACATACTTTGAGATATCAGCGCTGACACATTGAGGAACAGCCAGTAGGGACATGTTAGCTTTGAAAGCTGCTCCAGGGGCAAGAGGAAGGGATGGAGCATTTGAGAGAGAGAGAAAGAGAGAGATGTCCTCAGGGTTCAGCTGGTGCATTTCTTCAGCAAGCCCGAGGCAATGGCTCTCACTGCCCTCATGGTCTCCATGCAGGTGGGGCCGATTAGGGCCTCAGGCAGGAGGAAGCCATAATAGCCCGTGTCTCGCAGCTCGAAGGCGAAAGCGTAGGGGATTCCGTTCTTGTAGGCCCAGTCTATAGAGCTCCCTGAGCTTACGTCTGCAAGAGTAAACAAACACAGTGCGTCATTTGTACCTATATTTTACTAGGACTAGGGCATATTTTAAACCAAGGCACCTCCCTGATGAATCAGCTATGATTAGTTGGCAGTTTGCATGATTTCATGATCATTTTAAACCCCTTGTCTTAGGTTAGTAGCCATTAAATGCAATATCTGCCTGTTTTGGAGGACGTCCCTCAGTTCAGTCAGTCACTTAAACTATGCATTTTTGTGTTATTTGCATATATATAACCAGAGGAGATCACAAGTTCGATCCCTACAGCTGTCTATGGCCAGGAGTCCAAGACAGCACAGTTGGCCTCACTCTGTCTAGGTGGGCAGGATAGCCCTCTGACTCCCCACATCACCCAGCGTGATGCTAGCCAGCTTCTGTTAGCTGACGTAACAGATCTGACGGTTGGCGCTTTCCTCCAAGCACGATGGGCTGTCCAATGACGTTGCATTAGCAGCAGTTCGAAAAGATGAGGTGGCTCGCTTTACAGGCCTCAGTGGAAGCCTGTGCTAGCCTTCGCCCTCCTAGCACTGTTAGTATCGTGTGTTTGGGGGAGTCCTAACTAGTGGGTGGAATTGGACACGTCTAAATTGGGAAAATTGGGGGGGGGGTGTTTTATTGTGTTTAAATGCTATTTTTAATTATGTCTTGGTGAAGAGCTGTGAATTGTTTTCACACCAGGGGGTTCTCACCCCTCCCCTTTCACCCTTTACCCCTCATTGCTCACTAGCAGCTCAACACAGAATCACATTTCACACAGAGATGACAGTGTCCTAGTTAATCTGATAACAGAGTTAGACAGAAAATATTTTATTTGATCATATTGATTAAAAACAGAGTTCATTTCCAATCAGCCCCCAAAATGCCCACTGAAAGGCTTTATTCTCCTAATGCTCTCTCCAACACTGTAAAAAAGATTTCTTAACTTAAAACTTAAAAACTTAAATGTAAGTAAATTGGCTGCGTGAAAATATTGGGTCCAATGAACAGTAAGTTAGAATAATTCTTGTATTACATTCTGTTAACTTATTATTTGGAGATAAATCAGAATTTAGGGCAGGCTTTTTTTTTTTTAATTAAAACACCAAATTTACTGTACAAGTTTTTACAATGTGCAGTAAGAAACTGATGAAAGGCCTTTTTGTTCCAATAAAGAGTATTTTGGAATATCTAAAAGGCTATTAATGGTTTGTTACTGCTCAATTAGTTCCATTTATATGGTTTGGCCTTTTTAAAAACTCTGATTACTTGCTTAATCATCAAAATACTAGTAATTCAATTGCTAACGTGACAGACAGTAATATCACTCATTTTTACAATTCTTTTTGTCAGATGTGGGTATGAATACTGAAGTCATAACTATAGGGATGACTACTTTTTTGACACATTTGTGAAACACTACTTGTTCTCTCAATAGTCTATATGAAGTATGTACTGGGCTATTTCCAAATGTGAACTTTTTTTTTTAACGTAAAATTTTATTTTTAAAAAAATATATATATATTTTTATTGTTACAGTCTATATTCCACTACTATGAAAATAATTCCCTGAGTTGCATTCAAGTATGTGGCTTGAGGTCTATTCTGAATCATACCAAAATAATCAAATCAAACCCTGGTGAAATTATTGATTTCATGATGCGCTGAATTGCTTATAAACAAACGTCATCAAATTATTGTGAGGTCAGAGATTTAGACCTCTACTGGCTACGCTCATTATTGACATGCAACTAATGCTGTGTCACTGGTAACATTGAGACTGTTATTATTACGGCTTTGCCCAGAGGCCTGCTGAGAGGCTAACCCTAGGACAATGACTCATACGTTTATGAGATGAGATGTGAGGTGCAGCGAGTAATATCGTCTGAGGCTAATCTTTCATGTAATACTCACACAGCGTGGTGGAGGCAGGTCCGTATCTGTACCTCACTCCATATGCAGAGTAAAGGGCGCGCACAGCATTCTGCGCTGCTGTTTCCTACAGATAATGATACTGGTTAATTGGTTAATTGATTAGTTATGGAGTTCCACAAATTATTATACAATCATTGGGCACTTTATCAGAAACCCCTCTGTTGTTGCTCCACCTTGCTGCAGTTAGAGACTGTAGCTCATCTGTTCATACACAATTTAGGAGCTCATAATGTGGCACGTGACCGCAAGAACAAGGTAGGTGTTTTTAACAAAGCGACCAGTCAGCAAAAGAACAAGGTAGGTGTTTCTGATAAAGTGGCCACTAAGTGGAAGTACAAGGTAGGTGTTTCTAATAAAGTGGCCACTAAGTGGAAGTACAATGTAGGTGTTTCTAATAAAGTGGCCACTGAGTGAAAGTACAAGGTAGGTGTTTCTAATAAAGTGGCCACTGACTGGAAGTACAAGGCAGGTGTTTCTAATAACGTGCAGTTTTTTTTTTCCTAAAATGCATATTAGTTTTTGTATTTATTAACTGAATACTAAACTGGGGGTACCAGGAGGGTTAAAGGGGAAACTAAACAGAGCACTCACCACACAGTCGAAGTTGGGGATGGTGGCGTATTTGTAGGAGTAGGGGTACAGGAGCATTTGAGCGTAGGCGTGGATGGATATATAAGCCTTGACATGCTTTCTGTGCTTGCGTAGGAACCTGGCCACGGCCTTCACTTCAGGCTCCGACTCAGGGAAAGGGCCACAATATGTGTCGTCACACGGGTGTAAGGATGCTCCTTCATCTGCAAGGAAGAAAAAGAAAGTGTCGCGTCACTGAGGCATTCAGTTATTCCCTCCTTTTTGCCTGTGTATTGGCATTCACAAGCGAACAGCACCATGCTTTCAGCAGTTTTTGCTGACTCACTGCTGGGCTTTGTGCAGCCTCTATTTCAGTATCAGTTATAACCAACCAATGCATTCACAGAGGCGCTCGTTGAGGCTGCTAATATATGTGTGTCCTTCTGAAAAGTGAGAGGTGGAAAATAGAATTTAAAATATCTCACACAGAGCAGCTACGTTCACTTGCAGCCTAATGGATGCAGTTCACTTCCCAATCCATACATTTCATATATATATGGAAACAAAGCTTCAGAAACTAGTTTTTGTGATGTCACAAAAAAGCAAAGCATTTTCATATATTCACCTATTTAGCCCAGAGCAGTCAAGCCCCTCCCACTCACACTGAAGTTATAAGGAGTGTATCTGCCTATACCGCTTTTTGAATGAGGCACAGCCAATCAGAACAAAGATAATTTACATAGATTGGTCTTAAAGTGATGACTTGTTTTCTTGAAATAATGACTTAATATCTTGAAATAGTGACTTGTTCTCTAGAAATATTGAAATAACACCTCAAAATAATGACGTATTTTCTCGAAATATTGATGTAATATCTTGAAATAATGACTTGTTTTTATGAAATGGTGACTTATTATCTTGAAATAATGACTTGGTGTCCTGACATATTGACTTAATATCTTGAAATAATGATGTATAATGTTGAAATATTGATTTAATACCTCAAATTTATTTAGATTTATTGTTTCGAAAATATTGACATAATATCTCAAAATAATGACTTGTTTTCTTGAAATTTTGACTTACTACCTCAAGTAATGACCTATTGTCTTGAAATATTGACTTGGTATCTAAAAATAAAGACTTGTTTTCTTTAAAAAATTGACTTGAAATCTCAAAATAATTTATTTTAAACTTATTTTCTTAAAATACTGAGGAATACTGTATTTCTCTGTACGCTTGCAAGAACATACATTTTACAGTACGTTCTGAAGGAATGATCTGCTGTGTGTCATGTTATGTTCTGTATCGTGTGTGTTATATCATGCATGTGTTTGCTGTGAGGCTGTCCCCAGGACATTCTGGACATTCTGTTCAGCTATTCTTGTCTATCCCTACATGGTCACTTCTCTCACACCTATGCTTTGTTGCTCCTATTATTGGCAACTGTCCAAGCAGCTATGTGCCTGAGCCTTTATAACCATGATTATGTCAGTGGATCCTTGAGTCAGTTCTGTGAAACTGCGTGCAGAAGAAATAGAGATCGATTCTTCAGACACACGGCTGCCCTACTGATTCCATGAGGCTTTAATTTAACATTTAAAATACTGACTTATTTTTGAGACATTAAAGTTATGAAGATGAAATTCCATAGCAATAGGCAAGAATTCATTTCTTACTGAAAATCTCAGAATGGAGAGAACACCCCCACACAGGAACTACACGTTTAAAAGTGTTTGTACTGGTGGGTCCACAGAGGATTGAACAAGTGAAGGGTGATAAATAACATCCTATATTAACTACAAAAAATCAGACGAGGGAATAAATATAGATTCTCATTATGTGTTATTATCCTCTCATTAGAACTCGAGGCTGAGCCGGGACGAGCGCAGGGAGATATAACCTCCAGCAACAGCGCACGAGTTGTTGCATTTGCTTTGCTGAGATAATTGATCTACACACAGAGTTGTTTTCAACCAGGTCTCAACCTCAGTGGGTGAGTTTAGAGCAAGTTTGATTTGCCTGCTTTATCATTAGCCGATGCAGGCGGCAGGCAGAACTAATGATGGGCATGGACGGTCTGCTCAGGCAGTAATTAACGTGCCATGTAAAGCTTGTCTGAGTGTTTTGCAGTGTGTGTTTTGCAGTATGTGTGTCTATTTAAGTCCCAAAGGTGTCCCTAAAGGCACTCCATATTACAGTGTATATTACAAGACTCATGCCTAGACATTTGTTCACAATAAAGCCTTGTCTAGTAGTGATAGGCATTCTAGCTCGTTGAACATCAATTGGCTCAACGCACCAAAATGAGCTGATGCATTCAGCACCAAAACAGCTGTTCCTTCCGTACCACTGGCAGGTTTTTTTTCTGTTAGTGAAAATATCTTTCGTTTTAGTCTTTTTTGCTTTACCTAATTTAGTTGTTGCCAATTCCCAACCACCACGTCTCCCACTATTGCACAATACGACCAAGCTTGAAGTGTGAAGGTTTGTACAAGTTTCCTCCAAGATACAGAAGTTCCACCATATCTCTTTAAACTGCTGCTAACACATCAGTTCAACATGCTTGGAGGAGAACACTAACTGCTAATTCTGTTATGTAACAGACAGCCACATTGGCTAGCATTGCGCTGAGTGATGGGGGATGAAGGACCCTCCTACCACCCAGAGAGTGAAGACTATTATGCTTTCTTGTACTCCCAATCACAGATGGCTGTGGCACCACAAGGGATCGAACTCACAACCCCCTGACGACAGGGCCACTTAGCTGCTTATCCTTCTGGGTAAACATTCAGGATGTTTTTGCAGGGTTTGAGTAAAATCTTCAGTAAAAAGTGTTGTGTTTATATTTTTGTTTAGGGTCATTTTCAATCATTTCATTTTCATTGAAGAATTATTTCCAGTGCTTATTTACTTTTTTAATACAACCTTAGAATACAAAAAACGTGTTCATTATAAAAAAAGCAATATAAATAAATGTGAAACTAACCAGATGCTGCATGCTAAATCATTTTGCTATACCAAATACGTTAGCCAAGAATTGCATGACAAATGTCAAGAAGAGAACCAGAGATAAAGTAACACAACAGGTGTTGAGATAGTAAGGAGAACAGAGCGGGAATGTTCCTGGGGTGATCGAGGAGGGGGGTCCAATTACTAAACCTACAGAATAATAATGAAAAGTTTAGACATGAAAACAGCATTTTAACATATGTCTGGATTAGTATTGAAAAGACTTAACTCGCTCACTCATTCATTAACTCATTAGACACTAAACAGCTCTCTCTGCCACTCACACTCGTTCATGTGTAGCATTCTGACGATTCTCCCCAAGCGGGTGCAATTAACATTGGTGTGCATCATTGAAAGAGAGGAAACTGGCATGAACCCACACCAGCAGGATCTCATAAATGCCTAGTACCTATGTTGCAGTTACAACTGCATGCTTACTATAAAAATTCTTTCATACGTGCAATTTTCAGAACCCCTGCACCCCTGAGATTTGTCTTTACTTCCCCTGGGGGGGAGATTAAAATGTTCCTTAAGGCGTAGAATGCTTTCCGTCTCCTAGAAACAGCTACATTATCATTACATTATACAAATGTAAATGTATCTAAGCTGTGTTGTGGGCAGCTCCCATGAGAAGACTCTTTATATACGCCTTATTGATGACTTCAGTAGATGGCAGTGGCTCAGCAACCACATCAAAAGGTTCGGCAACGTCATCACAACATTTAATCATCAGCTTATACTAATTATACAGCCACAGCACCCGGAGACTCATCACCAAGCAGCGCACACAAACATACAAGCCAGCATATTTGAACTATCAGGGATCATATTTGCTCTAAATACTCCACATCATTTACACGTTTTGTATTCACTGTATGCGCATCACCGCTGACTGCTAATGCACTTCAGTTCATATCCTGTGATGAACACTTGTTTATTCTTATCAAGACATTCTGCTAAATCAAAGGTTTGGACTGAGGAAGAGGAGCAGCTTCATGCTTCAAAACTCACCGCACCACTTCACCTTCCAGTTGCGGTTCGCATCGACTCCACGGCAGTGATACTTGGCATTTTTGGAGCGCGTTTTCCGCCAGAAGCGGTCCTGAAAGAGAAAAGGACATTTCATATTTCCATAATTAAGTCACTAATGAGTACAAATGTCTTTTTTATTAGCATAATTTACATTGCAAGGGTTCATATGTGGGCCCACACCACAACTTCTCACTCTCATAACACAAAACTTTTCCCAGATTACATATGTATGTATTTACAAGTCAAATGACATTTTGTGGAGTTTCTAAGCGAAAATAGGTAACACATTCTCTTCAGAGAACACACTCCTGCACATTTTAATTCACAATTACTGTTTATCTGCTTAATTAAACTTTTAAAAAGGCTGTGCAAAAGTTATGGCACATTTCATATTTATTTATTTTTCTTTAATGTGTTAAAATCAGCAAAAAAAAAATGAAATTGAGCACTAAAGTTTGTTTTTTCTTGCTGCTTTTATTTGTGTCCTCTATTACTTTGCATTGTAAAGCATCCTTAGGTCTATATAAGGTGATCTAATAATATTACAATTATTAGCATTAATATTAGTGGTAGTAGTAGTTACTGAATAATTCATAGTACTGAAAAATAAGTAGTAAGATTAATAACTGAATAATACACCTGTATTTTAAGGGGTTGAAGAAATGTGTTGTTACACTATAAAAGTACTGCATTCAATGCACTTGATTCAAATGTGTACATAATTTCCATATGAACAAACACATCAACACAGCTTTATATATTTTTTATATATCAATGACTGATCTACCCATGCACCCCCCACAAATGCTTTTGCAAGCTAACATTAGCATGATGGCTAATGTGTTATTGTTTCTAACCTGCCTAGTTTCGATTAGCTGCAACAACACAGTCCAGCTAAGTAGGACGAACTTAAACCAGAAAAACATTATGTAGAGACTTTAAAGAAGGATCACTACAATTTCACATTAAGCTGAATGGGATTTCTGTCTTTAGATGTCCTGGAAAGCCTCTTCAACCTACAACAAAAGAATGCATTTGTGAGTGGAGCATGGAAAGGTGAGTTGTGTTGATGTGATATATTTGGGTACATTTTATTTGGATAGTATTTTTAACTTATCTTTAACTTACCTTCAACTAAACATGCGTTAGTCCTAACCTTAACCTCAATCCAGAATCTGAACCTAATCCTCACCCTGGTCCAAATCCTAACCCTAACAGTGATGAGAATCACCAGATAGGTTATTCACAATTTGAACATCTGTAGATAATCTATAGGGAGCTATTATGTACTATCCAAATCAAGTGAGATCATATATAGTTTTGTGTAAAAGTCAGAGACTATCGCTCAATAGGTTTCCAGTCAAAACAGCCGTTAAGTACAAGTTATTTATTTTTCAGCATCAGGAAAAAGGCAGAAAACATATTTTTAACAGAAGATTACACAGAAGCTTTGCCTCAGATCTGAAGCAAGAGTGGAGCTTGATTTTCTCCTCTCTCTCAAAGATGAAAGCATAAGGTTTATCTGATGGGGACAGTTTTGGTGTCTACCAGGTCTTTTACGGTTGTTAGGAGTCATTTTCTCTGTATCTTTAAATCATTTTTTGAACGCTGATTCTGGAAAATGACGTTTTTTCACTTGTTTTCATTTGACTTTCCTCTTCCTTATGCAAACGGGTTGTCTTATATCTAATTCAGAAATCAGAACAAAGAATAACTTGTACTCTTTTGTCTGTTTTAACTGGAAATGAAATAAATGAAGGGTCTCTGGTTTGTACACAGTGCTGTATTTTATTCATGTGGAAATGTGGATGTGCACATTTGAATCGAGAAGAGCTTTTTTTACTGTATAGAATATACTTATTAGACACAAAACTACACACATAAAGCCAAACAGAACAGCAAACAAAGGGAAGCAAAGGGCCTTGATGGATGAGAAGGAGACAGTTACGGTTTTCCAGCTGTAGTGATATCCATCCACATTGAAGACAGGCATGATGTAGAAATTCAGCTGATTCATCAGTCGCCTCATACTGGAATCGTGCAGATAGGAGTTCACGGCCTGCAATCAGAAGCGAGGGAGTCGTGACATGCACAAAAACTGATAAAAGAAAGACTCATCTTCCCCAGAGAAGAGCCACAGTGCAGCAAAAGCGCTGCACAAGGTCACACATTGCTGGGGAAGTAAATACTCTTAGAAAGAAAGTGCGACAATCTTTCTATTTCTAATCAGCAAACTATGAATTATTTCCAGTGCTTATTTACTTTTTTAATACAACCTTTGAATACAAAAAAAACATGTTCATTATAAAAAAAAGCAATATAAATAAATGTGAAACTAACCAGATGCTGCATGCTAAATCATTTTGCTATACCAAATACGTTAGCCAAGAACTGCATGACAAATGTCAAGAAGAGAACCAGAGATAAAGTAACACAACAGGTGTTGAGATAGTAAGGAGAACAGAGCTGGAATGTTCCTGGGGTGATCGAGGAGGGGGGTCCAATTACTAAACCTACAGAATAATAATGAAAAGTTGAGACATGAAAACAGCATTTTAACATATGTCTGGATTAGTATTGAAAAGACTTAACTCGCTCACTCATTCATTAACTCATTAGACACTAAACAGCTCTCTCTGTCACTCACACTCGTTCATGTGTAGCATTCTGACGATTCTCCCCAAGGGAGTGCAATTAACATTGGTGTGCATCATTGAAAGAGAGGAAACTGGCATGAACCCACACCAGCAGGATCTCATAAATGCCTATGCATATGCATTGATTGCTATTTATGAAACTGTACAAGGACATTTAATCCTACAGTGAACTGAGCAGTTTATTGGCTTCACCAACACTCCGTGGCCTTTTTAGCAGAAACACCTACCATACAGGTGCACTACAGTTATGAATTGTAGCTCATCTGTTGTCAGCCCCCTCTGCCCCATTCATTATTGGTCAGTTGTACTTCTTTGTCCTTCCACCCACTGGCCACTTTATTAGAAACACCTACTTTGTACTTCCACTCAATGGCCACTTTATTGTAAACACACCTACTTTGTTCTTCCACTCAATGGCCACTTCACTAGAAATACCTACTTTGTTTTTTCACTCATTGGGCACTTTGTTAGAAACACCTACCTTGTGCTTCCATTCACTGACCACTTTATTAGAAACACCTACTTTGTTCTTCCACTCAATGGCCACTTTATTATAAACACTTACCTTGTGCTTCCATTTACTGGCCACTTTACTGGAAACACATACCTTATAGAGCCACTACATACTGGCATGTAATTACAGGCTGTAGTTCATCTGTTACTGGACAATTTATTCTCCCCCTACCACCCCATTCTTCACTGGTCAGTTGTCTAGATATTATTTGGGTGGTTTATTAGAAATACCTTAGGGCTCACTATACTGGGTTGTAATTAAAGACTGCAGCTTATCTGTTGCTGCATAATTCATGACCCCCAAATCCTGTTCATGACTGGTGGTTTTGGACCACTGCCCTCCAGATATTATTTGGGTGGTGGTCCATTCTCAGCACAGCAGTGACACTGACATGGTAACCTACGTGATGCTGGGATGAGCGTATTAGACACAGCGGTGCAGCTGGAGTTTTAGAGAAGTCAGTGTTACTGCTAGGTTGAGAGTAGACCACCACCCAAAAATATCCAGCCAAAAGCAGCTCTGTGGTCAGAAACTGACCACGGATAAAAGGACTGGTTAACACAAACTGCATCAACAGATGGGTAACAGTCTCTGTACACCAGCAGGGTGGAGCTAAAAGAGAGGGGTTTCTAAAAAAAGTGGCCAATAAGACAGTACGATTCTTCATATCTTTATTTTAGGATCAGTGACACAGTTCAGTTTCATATTATCATATTTGTGTGTCATGCCATTGTTGACCACCTTCACCATGCTGCAAAACATCTCCAGTAGACCTTAATCCTCACCATTGCAGACAGCCTTCCCTGCTTATACACATCACTTTCACCATGTTTTGCTCACCAATTAGCAATACATGTACTGGTGTATTTAGCCATGCGGTCTACTTTGATTTTATACTAGTTCAAGTTTTACATTTATTATAAAATGCCTAATATGCCTCTCCTTCCTCTCAATTATTCATAGTATAACCTACATTTGTTGGGAATTATACACATTTCTGCATAATTAAATGGTTAAGATGTAAACAAAGTCATTCAGAGTGGTTTGATGCTCAGTTCTAGAGGAACAGAATTGTGTACAGTGGTGGTGACAGGAACCAGATGTCTGAAGAGTTTTATGCTGCTAAAAGCCATATCGCAGAAAGTTAGTACTCAAAATAGTGACAAATATGTTGCCTAGATATTGTTTTATAGTAGTAAAATGCAACAAAGAGGTATATGCAGGGCATTGTGAGGCAAAACAGTACCCACAGATAAGTTATTATTTATTTTACCATAATCAACATTACATATAACTCAGAGGACACGTCTAGTTTCACTGGTAGTTTTAGACAGTAAATAAAATGCCCATATTTGTGTTGTAGACATCACCAAGACTGTAAAAATATTAGTCGGTAAGTTTCTCTAGAAGGAAGCATTTCACATGAAACCGCTCTGAATGAGTTGTTTACATGTCAACAACTGAATTATTCAGATATTTAACAAAATCAGTGTAATTTTCTCTTTAAATAAAATGTAAAACAGAATTTTTGAACCTAAAGAAGTTTTCAACCATAAACCCTGGCTTTCACGCCCAGAATGAGTGACAGATTACTGGCACTGCTGTAGGTGAAGAGCTCTAGTCTGGTGTATAGTAGCACTAGGGAGATGAGGTTCAGGAGGCATCAGTAGAGCGGTAATCAGACTGACATCTTCTAAAGGGTTAATCTGCTTTAGAAGAGCATCTGTGCTCTGCCACACTGTGGCCTAAAGAAGGTACTGAAACACCTTGAATTACATCAGATGTACTTTGGCTCTATTTCCCATCTTTTATTGATAAATTCTCTTTTATGCTTGATATAAGATCAGTTCGCTCAGTTTCCTGTTTAGCTCACTTTAAGCAGTACAGCACTTTCTACAACAGCCACTGTACCAAAGCAGCTTTCTAGATAGTGTGATTATCACAAAAGTAGGACAAATATACCTGAAGGAAGATATAAATATAGATATAAAACTCTTATATTTCAAAAAAGTGAGGAAATTTGTTTTTCCATGAAATGGGACCTTCATCATTTTTGTGATGTCATGATAGGAAAGAATTTAGCAACAAGGGGTTAGAGGGGCTTTTGTGATGCTAATCTAGAGCCAGTGACTTCTCAAAACATCCTTTTGCGTTCCATCTAAAATGAAATCGCCTCTGTTTAACCCTCCTGGGTCCCTCTTGGCCTTTTCTTACATTTTGTGTAGTTATTTGTCACTCGTAACTTGAAATGAGCAAAGAGGTTTTTTTTAATTCTTTATTCGTACACATAAGATATACAAAATAATATACACAGCAACAGTTAAAAGTGTTTTTATTTCATTTCTCTGAGGTATATAATTAGTATAATAGTTAGTAAAATGATAAATAATAGTATATCCTACATTTTCCTTTATTATTTTATATTTTTCATGTGATCAACTTATCACAAGTTTTTGTACCGAAACAGAGGCGATTTCATTTTAGATGGAATGCAGAAGGATGTTTTGAGAAGTCACTGGCTCTAGATTAGCATCACAAAAGCCCCTCTAACCCCCTGTTGCTAAATTCCTCCATAAAGCCTGAGATGCTACGGCTCTGCGGTTTTAGCAGCCCGGCATTTCAGGGCTGTCTAAACTGATGTGAAGTGACCGGCTCTAATGGCATGGAGTGGATTTACTTCAGTGTTGCACTCTCTTTGCCCTGCAGTGGGTTCACCTCAGGAAAAGAGCTGTCATGTCCTTACATTTACTGTCAGAGACAATAAGAGCTGGATTAAAGCTAAAGTTCAGCAAAGCATCTCTTTACCAAACGGTGTCGGACGTTCGCACGTTTAATTTTCCACTGGAGCTACAAGGCTAATGTGACCAACAAATAATAGAAGCTTATGTAGTCCAATTAGCATAGTGCAAACTGCATGTGTACACATGATACTCTTGCTTTACACCATGTGGATTATTAAAGGGGAATTCCGGCGATTTTTCAAAATTGCTGCATAACTCAATCACTGAGATTTAAAGAACATCATTCAGTTCTGATGTGAAATGATATATTATAGAGAAACTTACTTATATTTTCTTTACAGTGGTGGTGATAGGAACCAGGAGTCACACTGTCTACATCGCAAATATAGACATTTTATTTACTATCCAAAATGACCAGTGAATGCACATGTCTACATGAGCAGCACATGTTGACGATGGTAAAATAGTGGCAAATTTGAAAAAAAAAAAAAAGTTCTTTCAGGATTATTTTGTCTGACAACGCCCTGTGTAAATCTTCTTGTGCTGAACGGTTTTAAAAAATATGTTTTATGGCAAAAGCTTATCTAAAATCTATTGTAAAACAATGTTTCAGGTTTCAAACATATTTATAACCACATCATATAATAGCTTTTTGTGAGGGAGCTTTAAGAGTCATTAAATGATTCACATCTGGTTCTTATCACTTCCACTGTGAACAACCCTGACTCTGTAAGTTTCTCTAGAATAGATCATTTGACATCAAACCACTCTGGTGGAATTCCCCTTTAAGACTTGTTTATGTGGTTTATGACACTTTGACATACTGTTTTTTCCATAAAAATGGAAATAAAACTTGAAATTCTCACAACTTTCTTCAGAGCTTTTTCTCTACTTAGTTACTTAGTTAAAGTTCAAGCACAAATCTTTTACTACTGCATCTTATGTTAGATCAGTAAAAACACTTTAAGTTAAGCTCAAGAAATAAATAAATAAATAACTAAAAACCGTGAATTGTTGGCATCTTATGAGCCAAAATCACTTCTATTTTTTGGTGGACAATTATTCAGTTTCTCTCCTAATTTAGTCAGTGCCAGTTCCCACCCACCGGTTTCCACTCCGCTCATCACCCAGTGGCCCCCAGCCGGGGGATGAGAGCTTCCTCCTCTCAGACTTCTCACTATGGATGGCTGAGCTTTTGCTGGGATTTGAACTCATGATCTCTTGTTAATTAGGCAGATGGACAGTTGTGATTAATAGGAGCCACAAAGTTGCTTAAACCTCTGAGTCCAAGAAAGAACAAAAAGGTGAATAAACTCAGAGTAGAGTGACCTGTGGTCAGATAGCGCCTCATGATCAGACAGAAAGCTACACTAAGATTTTGGAATTTGGAGACCTCTCTGGCAGAAATGTGTAAATACATGCAACATGTAATGTGGATTGTGCTTTGGTTATGAATCTGATGACCGCGAGCTCACTCAAAGAGCATTCAAAGAGAACTCAGTCAAAACTTGGTGAAGGGTGTATCCTCTTTTATCTACTACTGTCACCATATCTTCACCAGTATAATGCTGATTTTGCATTTGAGACCTAAACATTGAGCTGGACCTTCTTTTTGAGTCTGCACGTGTGACGTTAATATGTAAAGATCTAGTCCAAAAAACTCCTGTCAAATCAGACAGTATGCCTCCGACTTTAAAGTTATTATTTCAGGCTTTACAGGCAACTTACAGCTGCGCATCCACACCATATTTTAGATTTTTTTTTTAATCCAGACTCAGTAATGCTAGTGCAGTTTTAAATAAAAATGGTTGTGGCACAACTGATCATCAGGAAACATGAAATCATGAGTTCAAATCCCAGTGATGACTCAGCTAACTGTGGTCAGAGGTCTGAGAAGGGGAAAGCCCTTGCCCACCACCCCTGGGGGTTCTATGTGTCATAGCCTGTGGGTGGGAACTGGCAATGACTAAGTTTAGTGGTGGAACTGAGTAAAAATCCACTAACTTAGATGTAGTAAAATGTAGTAAAAATGTAATTTAGGAGAACTTTTGACCAAACTAAAAAAAAGCTGTGCAGGCCATCTTGAAGCCTGAATTTCATGCACACTTTCATCCACTGTTGCAGTGTGTATGATGCTACTGGTGGGGTATAAGCAAGGTTTTATTACTTGCTAGCTACATTAGCCTCGTAGCTCCAGTGCAAAACTAAAGAAGCAAACTCCAGACACCAACCACGTCCTGGCCGATCGACTACATTTGAGCTAAGGGGAGAAACTGTACATTTGGCCAAACTATCACTTTAAGAAACAACTGTTACTGATATACTGAAATACATACTTCTCTGACGAACCACTGGCAGAAGGCCGGGCCGATCCACTCGCGTGCGTGAACTCCACAGTCTATCCACATCGCCTTCTTATGGAGCCGTTTTCTGTTTCCTAACTGACAAGAAAGGACATTAGTCAGGCCGGAGGGAGTTCTTTCTGGACACTGAGCGTTCATTTCCACACCTCTCACATACCTTTAGCACATACAGGGGCCGTCCCTCGTAGGACCGTCCAATAGAAAACATGTCCACCAGGTGCGGGTGTGTCCGGTTCATTTCAAACATCCAACTCTGGATCTGTAGTCAAAAGAAGGTCAAATGTAGGCATATATAGTGTTTTAAAATAGATAGATCTGGTTCTAAAATCCAGTTGGCTGAGGCACTTTCGAAGCTGTAAAATACTCAAAATACTTAATATATACCAACATATACACTCAAAATATGACCGCACTCATGGTAAAGGAAAATTCCACCAATTTTTAAAAATTTTCTGAGGAATTCAAGCGGTCAACCTACAGGTGTTTTTATACGTTGTGCCAATAATGGTGAAAAAAATGGTAAATCTGGGAACTATTTTGCCTTACGACACTCTGTATACATCTCTCCACTGTGCATATGTGTTATGTGTTACAAATGTTTTAGGTTAAAACTTTCTATTTTTGGTGTAATAACTTTCTGTGAGGGAGCTTTTAGAGACATTAAACTATTTTGCCTTCTGGTTCCTATCAGCACCATTGTAAACAGTTCTGATTGCTAAGTTTCTCTAGAATGGAGGATTTCACACCAAACCACTGAATGAGTTTTCTTATATCTGAACTGTTTTATTATGCAAAAGTTTTGAAACATTGAAACACATAGAATTTTCCTTTAATGAACTACAATGCTTAGTGGACAAAGATATTTATTACAATTATTTTTATTAATAAATCACATTATTTATTGAATATTGGTGTATTTTATGATGTGTGTTGCTGCAGACTTTATTTGACTTCACTGTGCCTAACAACACCCATTAACCACTGTAGAATCATGATAGCCCATGTGGCTCGTTGCTTTATCACTATCCATAAAGGTTTAGCTGCCCAGAATGTTTATAATAAACTTTGTCAAGTTGCAGTAGCTTATCATATTAAATGGAAAGCTGTTCATATATTGCTATTATTCTTTCCAAAAATTGCAAAACTGAAAGAACACCTGATAACAGTCCAATCTTGGGAATAAAACCAAAGGCTACGCATTGTATCCTCTTGTTATGATGTCAGTACTGAAATCTTTCCTGTGTTTAAACCAGATTTTGGAGGGTTTCCATATGTGCTTTTAATGAAACTATCACTTATCACTTCTTTATCCTTCTCACATATTTCATTCTACTCTCCGGTCTCTTAAAAAAAGTCCATGATCATCTCCAAATTCCATCTCATGTGTTTTTACACCAGCCAAAGATCAAAATCCACTCTAATATCTCAGGTACACTGTGCAGATGATTCAGATATGAAAAGCCTCTATAATGAAGTGTCAGAGAAAACGCTGTTTAAGCTCTCTGACACACTGGAGACGTCTATTACAGCGGTTACATTACATCTCTTCTTGACTCAATTACCTTAATACCTTAATGTTGTCACTAATAACAACCTGATTCATTCAAAGGCTTTAAGAGATTAGCATGGCTGCTATCAAAACGATACCAGGAGGTTTAAGATATTAAAAGCCTGAAATGTATTATTATCCTCTTGTCAAAGCTAAGTGGCTCCTCATTTGTGAACATATCACATGGTATAAAGCAGAAAGTGTGAACTGTAAGTTCACGTAAAGTTGTAAATGTAAAGACAGGTAAACGTGAAGATGTTTGGTGTCCAACTACAGTCATATGCAAAAGTTTGAGCACCCCTGGTCATATGACACATTTTATTGACTGAAGCGAAAATAAGTTAGCACATCCTCTACAGAGAAAACACATGCACAGTTTAGTGCATATTTTAGTGCATATTTTAATGCATATTTTTGTGCACAATTTCTATTTATGAGCTGAGTTTAACATACTGTAAAATAAATAAATAAAATGTGCCATCATTTTTGCACAGACCATATTTTGTGTTATATTTTTCCCCATTTTATTAAATTCAGCAATTAAACGGTATTAAATTTTTTATGCACAGTTTGTGTTAGACAATCTGTCTTTAATCAGTGGTCACTTTTTGACCACAGAGTTGCGTTTGGCTGGATATTTTTGGGTGGCGTTCCACTTGCAACCTAACAGTGACTCTGACACATGTAAAAACCCCAGTAACCCAGTTGTGTCTGATACACTCGTACCAGCACCACACATACTATCATGTCAGTGTCACGCTGCTGTGTCTGAGAATGATCCATCAGATAAATAATATCAGGTTCGCAGTGGTCCTGTGGTCAGAAACTGACCAATGAAGAATAAGGTAGAGAGTGAGTGGTAAACTTTGCAGCAACATATGGGTTACAGCCAGTAACTGTACACTGATATAGTGGACTTATAAGGTTGGTCTTTCTAATAAAGTGGCCAGCGAGCTGAAGTGCAAGGTAGGGGTTTCTAATAAAGTGGCCAGTCAGTGGATGTACAAGGAAGGTGTTTCTGATAAAGTGGCCAGCGAGCTGAAGTGCAAGGTAGGGGTTTCTAACAAAGTGGCCAGTCGGTAGAAGTACAAGGAAGGTGTTTCTGATAAAGTGGCCAGTGAGCTGAAGTGCAAGGTAGGTGTTTTTAAAATAAAAGGTGCCATAATTTTTGTACAGACCATATTTTGCGTTTCTCCCAATTTGTCAAATTCAGCAATTAAACAGTAACTGTGCATTAAAATGTGCAGAAGTGTGTTCTCTGTAGAGCATGTGGACTTATTTTCTGTAATTTGACCAGAAAGCCCAAATTTTGCATATGACCGCATATGAGATACATAAAATTGACAAGAGTACAGACAAAATTCAAAGTTCAAGACGGCTACTATTGTTTTCAGCTATGTGATGCACTTTAGGCCGGTAACTTTAATACATTTCTGAAGGCCAGTGTTCATAAGGCTACACAACAACTACATACAGTATGTGACGATGTAGACTTGATGCTAACTGGGTGAGCTATAAGCTTCCATTACTTGTTAGTTACATTAGCCTCGTAGGTACAATGCAAAGCTAGATAAGCAACATGGGGTAAGTGGGAAATTTCCTATTTTGCTGATCTATTGCTTTATTCATAACAACCTGCCGTTCAAAGAATTCATTCAATGCCTTCAAGAGCCTCGCATGGCTGATTTCAATATAACACTAAGACGTTTAGGATATTACTTGCTTAAAAATGTGCTATTATCCACTTGTCAACACTAAGTTGCTCCTCATTCATCAGCATATCATGTAATCTAAAGTAGAGAGTGAGAGCTGCGTATGTATGGGTTTATTTAAGCTGAAGCTGGGTTGCAGTGAGAGGGAGAGTGTAATAAGAGGTTAGCATTGCTCAGATTATTAAAAAAACTCTGCTTGTTCTGTTGTCTGGTGTGTACAAGAAGAACAGGCTCACGGAAAAACAACAGCCTGAGGGATGGTTCGGCTCTGCTGCTGCACCCACAGAGGCAGAGAGAGGCACTTCTGAAGCTCCACTGACATGACTGATTTACCATGCTTCTTCCCCAGCCTGAGGTTTGTCACAGACTGGAGACTCTCTCTCTTGTGTGCCACAAGATGTATACTGAGTGGCCAGTTTAATAGAAACACCTACCACAAAAATGCACTGTGTAGGTTAACAGTTAGAGATTGTAGCCCATTTTTAAAGCACAGTTTGTGTTAGCCAACCTCTAGTCTTTCATCAGTGGTCAATTTCTGACCACAGAGCTGCGTTTAACTGGATATTTTTGAGTGGTGGATCACTCTCAACCTAACAGTGACTCTGATGTGTGCAAAAACCTCAGGAACACAGTTGTGTCTGATACACTCGTACCAGCACCATACATACTAAAATGTCAGTGTCACACTGCTGTGCTGAGAATGATCCACCAGTGAAATAACACCAGTGAAGAATAAGGTAGAGGGGGGTACAAGGTAGGTGTTTCTAATAAAGTGGCCAGTGAGTGGAAGTACAAGGTAGGTGTTTCTAATAAAGTGGCAATTGAATGAAAGTACAAGGTAGGTGTTTCTAATAAAGTGGCCAATGAGTAGAAGAACAAGGTAGGTGTTTCTAATAAAGTGGCCAGTGAGTGGAAGTACAAGGTAGATGTTTCTAATAAAGTGGCCAGTGAGTGGACATACAAGGCAGGTGTTTCTAATAAAGTGGCCAGTGAGTGGACATACAAGGCAGGTGTTTCTAATAAAGTGGTCTCTTTATGTTGATAGACAGGGTTGAGGCAACAGATGACTACAGTAAACGTTCAAAGTGCACCTGTATGGTAGGTGTTTCTAGTAAAATGGCCAAAGAGTGTAGGTACAAAGTAATAATACCAAATAAACAGCATCTGATGAGCACAATCTAATCCTATTGCCAAATATTCAGTGAAGCCAATGCTTTACCCACCTCCTCCAACGGATGATACACTTCATAGTCGTACTGGAATTCTGAACGGCGCTTTCTGGAGGATCGATATCCTGCCTGTTTTTCCATTTCCTTCTGGAGATTAGGGATGAGCACCCTGTGGGGAACAGCAGGGGGCAGGACAGAGAGGATTTATTTACACTCAACTGCTTCACAGTAAAATCACCAGCGTTAAATTACTTCAAATTCGACAGTGTCCAGTTTAAATTGAGTAGAATGAAGTGGCTCACTGGCTATAGTACCGTGTTTCCTGTAATATGCAATAGAAAGGCAGGCTGAGTCAGAAGCTGGAGGACAGCGTATCATATCTGAGCAAAAGGTCATAGACTGATGAATCAAAAACACTGAGTAATGGTTGTTTATGTAAGGGTTTAACTTGAGGAAGTGGCAGCGCTGATTGCATTTGGTCAACACAGCCACAGAGCTTTCTATGGTTTTCAGTTAGAGATTATGCCATTCAGCTGTAACCGTTCACATGTGCCAACTGTTCAGGCTGCGAAAACGTCTTTTTTAAAGGAACAATGTGGTGAAATATCAAATCTACTTAAGCATAGTCAATCAACCAAGACATGTCTGCTGTCTGAAGTTTGCTTTCTTAGTTTTGCACTGCAGCTATGAGGCTACTGTAGCTAACAGTTAGCTTACATACATTAATTAGCATCATGATAACTACATGCCTAAAATCATGACATATTTGACTACTAACTAATCTCAAATAGACTTCCTTATGTGGTTTGTGACACTGTATAACAGAGGTTCTCAACCTTTTCCACGCCAAAGTCCACCTGTTTATAACTACAAAGCATAGCGGTGTATTTCAATCGACTTTTTAAATACAATTTTCTTTTTCTTTTCTTAAGTGTTGAATCAGGGACTGAAAAAGATCAGATTGTTAATTTCAGTGTTTATTTTTCTTACTACTCTGTGATATTTTATTTGTACATCTCTATTAATATTTATATTGGTTATAATTTGAAAACATTTGATTCCTCAATGTTTTAGTTAGTCTTTGTTCCACTTATGTTTTATAAAAAATGACACTACCGTAGATTTAGGACAATTTCTTCACTTCATACACAGAAAATTCTAATTTTACAGTTTTATTTGTAAAAAAATCATGTATGTTTCCTCCAACTCAAACAAGAAAAATCTTCTGCATTCTCCAGTAGAACCCAACCAATATATCAGCTGGCTGACAATATTATGGATGACCCACATAAGCTCCCCGAACAAAAAATTAGTCACCTTGTGTGTTTAAGGTGGTAGTAACTTCAGGCTCCTGCAGATGGTGGTGCATGAGAATGATCTGGCTATAAGTACCTGCGGGTTGTGCGACGGGATTCATAGATTGAGAAGAGGTGGTACAGTCCAGTGAACGGTGGTCACAAAGCAGATATTAATGATTGGCAAAAAGGAGCGATTGCATTTGGGCGTGACAAAGGCCATTTGCAGGTGTATCGAAGCGTACAGTCATATGGGTCTACCAGCAGTGACAAAATCGCAGTCTACAGGAAATTCTCATCAGAATTGTGGCCGAAAGACGAAACTGATGGACAGGGACTGCCGGTGTGTTTCACAGCTTGTGAATAAAAACTGCTCCGCTTCCAGGCAAGAATTGCTTCTAGAAGTCAACGCAGGTCCTTCACAACCAAAGAACACTCTGCAGGGAATCGCATACCATGAACATATGGAGCAGAGTGGCACGCACGAAGACGTTGCTTTAGCAGTATCAATGAAAATATCATTGATAATGTGCCAAAAATTAGTGGCTTTTTTAAATGGTGGAATCACCAGGATTCAAAGATGTTCTATTTTCCTTTATTCTATATAAATACATATTATGCTTTGTGTAATTTTACTGTTATATATGTTTTCTCATTTTTGTACTTGTACATAATGGACATAAATAAATGAAGGGTGGACTCTTGCAATTATTGTACACATGACAGAAGTGTGCTTAATCTGCATTGTTTTTGCTCTTTTTCTTCATCTGAAAATGAATAAAATTTGTGGAAAAAAGCCCGAGAAACATATACAGAGCTCGCTTGGGTCTGACACGTTTACCCACTTTTCCTTGGCCCGAGGCATCAAAGCCTTCGCCTAAATTTGCTGAAATGCATCAGCCTGCAAAGTCTGTTTGGATTGGTGAAATGAGTGAGAGGAATGAAGGGAGGGAGCGAGCGAGGGAGGGACAGCAGGAGCCTCTGTGGCTGCGGCAGACTGATAAAAGTGCCGCTGCGCTGTTGATTCGGCTGAGTGATTGATGGGCGGAGAGGATGAAAGGCTGCTTTGAGGAAAGGTCTGGGTCGGATCGTGAGCGCAGGAAGCCACCTTTCTCCTCTGGTCCAGAGACTGATCTTTGCGCTCCAGGGATTTTTCAGAAGTGGTTGCCAATCCTGGTCCTGGAGCAGCCCTGCTGTGCAAATGTTGGTGTTTTTACTGCCCTAACACACCTGATTCATCAGCTAATTAACCTCTTGAACCCTATATAGGACCCTCCCTTGTAGCTCCACCTTGGCCAGTGAGTGAAAGGTAGTTGTTTCTAATAAAGTGTCCCGTCAGTGGAAGTAGAAGGTAGATGTTTCTAACAAAGTGGCCGGTGAGTGAGAGTACAAAAGCAGGTGTTTACAGTAAAGTGGCCAGTGAGTGGAAGTACAAGGTAGGTGTTTCCAATATAGTGGCCAGTTTGTGCAAGGACATGGTAGGTGTTTCTAATAAAGTGGCCAGTGAGTGGAAGTACAAGGTAGGTGTTTCCAATAAAGTGGCCAGTGAATGCATATCCTAGTTCTATAGTAATTACTAAATAATTAACTTCCTCAAAACTAAATAATAAGTCTAAAGGTAAATAATTGAATAATAAAATCTAGATTTTAAGCAGACAGGGCTATTCCAGGACCAGAGTTTGAAACCAGTGTGTTAGGGGACAGTGGAGTGTGAGGAAGAGTGTCACATTCTTACTCATAGTGGATGTGGGTCTGTTGGAGGTGAGCTTTGAGACGTCCTGTGCTGTTTCGTCCCACGTGGATGTCCACTGAGCTGCCCATGTGGATAAAAGAAGTGCTGCTGGGCTGCCAGAAGTCCACCTGCACAGTAATGTCCAATCAGTCAGTCAACTTTTCAAATCATCTGTGTTCAGTTGAACATGTATTTGTTTTACCGCTTATTTCCCCTACATAGATTAAGCTGCCCACTGACCTTGCGCTTCTTTTCACTGATCATGAGCTTCGCTTAGTCCATTTATTAGGCCACTAGGTAGGTATTTATAAAGGTGCACTTGCAAACCGCAGCCCATCTGTTGCTGCATAGTTTATCTGTGGTACTCTGTGGTCAGAAACTGACCACGAATGAAGGGCTATGGGTTGGCTAACACAAACCATGTATCAAAAGATGAGTTACAGTCTCAAACTATACACCAGCAAGATGGAGCTACAAGGGTTTCCAGTAAAGTGACCAGTCTGTGTAACTTACAAAGCCTATCCAAATCTAGGTCTAAGAAACTGGCTTTATAACATATATTGGACTTGTGTATTGACATATTCCACCTAAAATGATATGATCACAGGACACTGTATTTTCACTGTGACAGAGCTTAAAATGGCTTTACATTTTTCTGCCAACAAATTTACAATGAATTCAACAAGATCCACCCACTCAGCCCAAGACAAATAGACAATCAGCATAGTCTGACCAAAAACAATGACTTGTTTCTTCCCAAACTAATCAGCCATCTCTAATAGGCCTTCAAGTCACACTGCCATGTTTGTATCAGGTTTGCAAAAGCCTTTTAGAGGCTTTTGACTGGATTAAATTACACTTGGCTGCTGAAGATCAATGCTTTGAGCCTCAGTAAGTCGTTTGACTCAATGCGCTCTGAGTATATACATATATGTGTTTGTGTACATGTTTAACCACTGCTAATGAACCACAAAACCACAGCAGATCGACAGCACATGGTGAAAGACTCGCAGTAGCCCACATCTCGCTCTCTGGAGTACAGCTTCAGCATCAGCGTCCTATAATCTCCTGCCAACTCACTGCCCACTCGGGTTTGGCCGCTACAGCTGACCCATCAAGCAAGAAAACAAAGCACAGAGCTACTCAAACTCTACACTACACTATCAACAACCATCGGCAGTACTGAGACTTAGACTTATGCACTGAAACTCAATTATTGTAAAAGTAAATAAACTGAAAAACATAACTGTGTTGCAATATTATATAATGTATTTTATTCATGTACACATTTATATCAAGTCAATGCAATGCATCGCTTTTTGTGTTCTGAAGTTGAGTTTCTGCTGAAATGAAGGGAAATTTAAGAATCCGATTATAGATTATTGCTAGAAATATTCGAGGTTTCATTGAGTAGATGGCTAAATCTCAAATTATTCTACTTGTTTCTGTTGTTTGTTGTTATTAGCACATGCAGAGTCTGAAGTGATCTGGGATCTAGAATAATATATTGATGTAACAAGAAATCGAGGAAATGTGTGTTCCTGCCTCATGATGAATTTAATTTAAAGGAGATGCATAGAACAAAAAAAGATTTAAAAATACCAAACTAAACTGCGGACTGAAACTGCCAGATATCTTAGAATGCCACTGTGAGACATATTTGACAGCGTTTTTATGCTTTGAAACACTCATGACACATAAAGAACGTGATATATGCGTGTATAGCCATTACATAAAGTAAAGCACAATCACATACAAAATCTCCTACAAAGGCCATCAGCCAATGTCCCACTCCAACTCCACCTTTCGTGGGGAAAAGTCTCCCAACCCACAGCCCAGTCAAACCTATCCATGGCAATGCAAAGACTTCCAGCCCATGGCCCAGTCAAACCCCTGCGCTGCAATGCAGAGTCCCTCAGCCTGAGGCCCAGTCAAATTCCGCCTCTGTTGAGAAAAGTCTCCCAGCCCGCGGCCCAGTCATACTTCTCAATAGTGATGCAAAGACTCCCAGCTCATGGCCCAGTCAAACCTCTTCACCCTCAGCCTGCAGCCCAGTCCGGCTCTGACTCTGTGATGAAAAAATCTCCTAGCCCATGGCCCAGACATACCTTTCCATAATGATACAAAGACATCCAGCCCACGGCCTAGTCAAACTCCTGTGTTGCAATGCAATGAGTCCATCAGCCTGAGCCATGGTCCAATTCCACCTCTGTGTTGAAAAAAATCTCCTAGCCCATGGACCAGTCAAACTTCTCAAAATGATGCAAAGACTCATGGCTCATGGCCCAGTAAAACCTCACCACGGCAATGCAGAATCCCTCCAACTGAGCGGCAGTTGTGGGCTAGAGGTTAGGGAACCAGCCTTGTGAGCGGAAGGTCGCTGGTTTGATCCCCTGAGCTGCCAGGACATGACTGCAGTGCCCTTGAGCATGGAACCTAATCACCAACTGCTCCCCAGGCACTGTGGATAGGGCTGCCCCCTAGTGTGTGTGGGTGTTTCACTGCACAGATGGGTTAAATGTGTTGAATTTCCCCATTTTGGGATTAATAAAGGGTAACTTAACTCTGCTTCTATGGTGTAAAGTCACCCAGTCAGCACCTCAGTCTCGTCCCTCCACAGGAATGCAAAACCCCTTCACCTGAGGCCTAGTCAAACCCACAGCCAAGCCAAACTCCACCATCATGGTGCACAGTCTCTCAATCTGAGGCCCGGTCAAATTCCACTACTGTGGTGAAAATCTCTTGGTCCACAGCCCAGTCCAACTCCACCACCACAGTACAAAGTCTCACAGTCCACAGCCTCGTCAAACCCCTCTGCTGCTATGGTATAAAGTGTCCCAGCCTGCACCTGCGTCAAACTCTCTCCACTGAACTGAAAACTTTTCCAGCCTGTGGCCCAGTCCAACTCTGCCAATGCAGTGCAAAGCCCACTACCCAGTGGCCCAGTCAAACCCCTCTGCTGTGATGCTTGGCCAGTTCAGGTTATAGATAGATAATAGATAACCATATGAAATACAGTGTCAAAAACCACATAGGCAGGTCTCAATGAAATTACTTGACTTCACGCGAGTGAAAGTGGATTAAATTTTTCGCCCAAACCTCCGTAAAATATCCAAACATGCATATCTTCTGTCTGTTTCAACTTGCAACCATGCAACTATTCAAGTCCTAGAAATGTTGTAGCTGAAAAGGCTTAAATAACTCTCTTCAGGGGTCTGGTAGTAAAGTGTTGTCCCTCCATTGTTCTCCATCAACAAAAAATCCTGTTGAAAAAATGGCTGTGGGTGAAGTCTCTTGCAAATCCTCCTGATTTGATGGGTTTATCTGTAGAAAAAAAAACACAGCACTGCTTGCTGTCTCACTATTAGCTGATAGCAAGTGTGATTCCCTTGGTAAACAATAAGGATTTGTCTTTTTTTAATAAATAGATTAGTACAATAGTGTAGCAGCACAGCTGTTGTAATTCCTCATCTAATTCTTCAAGCCAGACCGTGCTCACAGATGGCTTCTGTACCTTCTCCAACACTTGGCTTAAACAGTGAATAGTTTGTCCCGGATTGATTTGATGGTGGCTAGAATGAAGCAGGTGGCTTTGTTGGTAGAACATGAAACTTCAAACTAAAAGATTTTGGCTCTTGTCCCAATACAGATTCTATGAACTATCTTGACTGCCCATTTAGTATCATATCCTGAGCAATAATCTGGAGTGTTCTCAATCAGGCCTCATTATTGCACCTTACGGCTACATTTATATCACATATATTTAGAGTAATTACATAACTTTTTATTGCCATGAAAAGATTATTTATTTACATGTTTTGACTTATAAGTAGTTGTCACGTTACTTTTCTTTAAAATATTGTTTATATATCTGGTAAATAATAGCTATTCAATAAACTAAATAACCCAAACATGCTGCTAATTTTCAACACAGTTTTCTGTAATGCAGTTTTAACTGTTTCTGTAGAAACAGTCCAATAAAATAAGCTAAGCAGAGGGAATGTGTCAGTGTGTCCAGCGTTGTGTGAACTCAACACAGACAGGCAGTCACTCTCAGCCGTGGCAACTGTCCAGATAAAGAAGACGTCTCAGTCTCAGATGTCTCAGTCAACCAGACGGCCCATGTCAGGGTCAGGAAAACACGAGCATGAGACATAAGGCATTGTCCAGCTGTATGAAGCTTTTCTGATTTAAAGAGTGAGTTACACAAGCAACCAAGAACTTCTCTTTTCAAAGACTTTTCAAAGCCAAACAGTGTCTTTTTTCGCTTGTCTTGAAAGCTGCTTTATAACATCAGTGCTGGGCAGAGTACTTTGACGGCTAAATACTGAAGACACTGTCATAAATGTATTCAGTAGCATATTCCATTACAATACATAAAAAGTATTCTGAATATATTTAGAAACCCTGCTGTTCTCATTTTTTTTTCATTTCCCAATGTTCTTTGCTGTTACTAATTGGCTGTTTTCTTCGTGTAATTGTTCGGTTAATGTGTTTCATCAAATATTCACTTATTTAAATGAAGTTTAAAACATTATTTTGGCTCTCATTACCTGCTTCAGTCCACTGCCGCTCCCATAATTCCACTGCTGTCTCATTAACTAAACAAACAATTTGGCATATTCCAATAACAAAATCTTGCAAATTTGACTATAAAGTGGGCACCTGTATGATTTTCAGTTAATGACATGTATGTAACTTGTCATGAAATGCATGCTTGAGTCCATCCAACATAACAATGTTAACAACTTAACAATGTTAAGTCCACTACTGAGGAGACTGTTTAGCACCATCATCCCTCAAATGAGTTTAATAACACTGAGATTAATATCTGGCTCATCACATTGACTTATCATTCACTTGTCATTCTACTTAGGCTCTAGCAGAGCTCAGTAACACTGAGATTAATAACTGATCATCATTTTGGTTTATGAGTCTACTCAGGCTTTAGCAGAGCTCAGTAATACTGAGATTAATAAATGATCATCATTTTGGTTTATCAGTCTACTCAGGCTTTAGCAGAGCTCAGTACTGAACAAAGATACTTCATTTCTCTGTTCTGAATGCAGCTTCCCAATACTTGTATTTTGTTACATACCAACTACTTGCATGTCTTTGGACTGTGGGA